AAGACTTAGTTTTCTCAGTGTTTCACCTTCAAAGGAATCGTCTTTCAGCGAGGGAATGAGGGAGCCGATATTTAAACAGCTGCTTTATACCACTATGACATCCTTTTCTTTTCTGCACCCATAAAGAATTCTGGGTTGAGAAGTCTTTGTTAAAAGAAGCCTCACTTCCCCATTCGACCTCAGAGAGGACTAGAATCCCCAGAGTTTACTGGGAATCATAGAGAGTTGGAAGATACCCCGAGGGTCATCTAGTCCAACCCCCTGAAATGCAGGAATCTTTTGCCCAACGTGGGGCTTGAACCCACTGAGACTAGAGCTTATGCTCTTACCGACTGAGCTGTGCTTCGTGGATCAATAGCTGACCTTTATGTGGATCTTAATTTCACATATATGCCCATAGGTTGCTGACCTTGGGATTGTAGTGGATGGAATCGATCACTCCACTGTGAGGCAGCTACGAAAAGACAAAATTCAATGCTGGGGATTATTAGGAAAGGAATGAAACTACCGATATTGCGATGCTGTTATACAAATCTATGGTGCAGCTGCATTTGGATTATTGTGTAGGGTTCTGGTCCGATCTCCTCCAAAAGGATATTGTAGAACGAGAAAAAGATTCAGAAAAGGGCAACCAAAATGCTCAAGGGAGTTATGAGGAAAGATGGCAGCGTTTTTAGTTTAGAGAAAAGTAAGAGGGTGACATGACTGAAATTTATAAAATGAGGCACAAATGGAAGGGGATGGAGAACAGCTTTCTCCCCCTGCTGCAGCCTTAGAGCTTGTGGGCATCCGGTGGAGATGATCGTTGAAAGATTTAGGACAGAGGAAAGGAAGTTCTTCACAGAGCAGATGGATAAATGTGGATTAGACAAATTCATGGAGGATCAAGCTATCAGCCACCAGACTCAATGGCTATGCTCTGCCTCCACTTTCAGAAACAGCATTTCTTTGGATAACAGTTCCTGGGAATCTGGGGAGGGCAGAATACTGTTGTGCTCAGGTCCGGTTTGTCCACAGTGAGAACCGGAAGCTGGACCAGAGGGGCCATGACTCTTCTTACGTTCTTATGAATTCTGCATCAGAGGCACTTTTGAGCACTAAGAAAAGCATTCCATATAAAAGTCGAAATTATTAGGAACAGAGGATGCTGTTTTGTATCACGTCAGCTCCATTTGGCCCAGTATTGTCCGCACTGACGGACAGCAGCTGCCCGCCATTTCAGGCAGGGGAGTCTAGCCCCCGCTCTACCTGGAGACACTCCATCACTGTGCCATGTCCCTTCCCCAGGTATAATTAATACTATCACCACCCAGAGCCGTGAGGCACCTGAGGCAGACCCCAAAACGGCTCCCACTTCCCTGCCAGAGAAGAAGGGGTGAGGGAAGATCTGCTTCAGCAACAAGGAAGAAGAAAGATTGACATTGGGATCTGCTGCCTCGGTGGAATCTGCCGCCTGAGGCGGTCGCCTCGCCAAACAAGTTTCCTTCTTGTCGCTAGAGAAGGAAGCCATGAGAAAGTTTGCACTTCTGGGATCCGACAGAAGCTCTCCGATTGAAAATGTGTGTCTCCGTCCTGCAGCTGTTGTTCTGGTGGCTCCCGAATCCCACAGTCACCTCTGTCTTGTCTCCAGGTCTCTGGCCTTCGGAAGGAGAGCCTGACTCGGTATCCCGAGAGGTCCTGGGTTAGGTGTGTCCCCACGGGGCACCCGTAGTTGAACCCAGGACAGCAGGAGGCCGGGACAAGTGCAATATTAGCAGGAGAACAAACAACACTGCACTGTTGCCCCATTCCTCCCGCCAACCTGGAAAGAGGGACGCTTGCAGGCCTCTGGCGGAGCGAGTCACGGCTGCGTCACGGCCAAGGCTTCTCCCATGGGAGAGAGAGAGAGAGGACCAGGCTGCCGGTCCTGCGAAAAGAGTGGACAAATTTTTATCATGGGGGTCTCGGGCGATACCCACCTGCACCCTCTGCGGATAAAGCCTTCTCCAAGCCCCGTCCAGGTCCCCCCCACAAGCTGGCGTCGCAACTGGCGCTCCAGAGCTGGGCATTTGGTTAAATAATCACCCGCCCTGGCCAAGACACTCGGACGTTTGCTGTGGCGACCAGTGTCCCGGCAACGCAAGTGAATGCTGCGCTCTTGCCGGCAGCGAGGAGCCTTGTTCGGTGGGGGGCGCCCCTCTCCACCCACGCCGCAGAGAGGAGCCTGCAAGGCTCCCACGCACAGAACGGAGAGAGCCAGGAAATGGGACTCCTGGGGAGGCATTCTACCTGCTTGCCACAAACTTAAAATAAATTCTCCAAAATAAAAAAAAAAAATGCCCATCGATCTCCTCTGGATCCCAGACTTGAGAAAGTTTTCAAATTTTGGAAGGTCACCACCTGTTGCGAGGGTGAGGGGAGGACCCCCCTCCTTGGCCTTGAGAGGAAAAATAGAAATAAGGGAATCTTGCCCATCCTGTTGAGGCCGAAAGACCCACCTGCTGCCTCTGTGGGCTAAGGGCGGAGGAGCGGCGGAGGTCGTGAAGATGTGGCAACCCTGAGAAGCCCCCTGTTGGCGAGGATGGGCATTGTGCCCGCAGAAGGAGGGTTTTTGCTCCTTCAGGTAGATCTACTTGCCTTTGAAATGTGTGGCCGGAGAGCTTGTTTTGGGCAACCTCCCCAGCCTGGAAGGTGCCCGTGCAGGACGAGAAGGGTCCTGACGCAG